CACGTATCCAGTATTTTGCTCAGACTGCAACTATGAACTTGCTTATTGTATGCAAAATCAAATTAGTTTTTCATTACATTTAGTATGCACCATTGTTTTAAAAGCAAATCCAAGAGACAATTCCGGAACATTAGGATATTCTAAAGAGCCTGGAGATGGTTATGGATTGGAATAGAGCTAGGCTAAAGATTCTTACGATGGGTTTTATGTTCCCATTTCGACTTATCTAGTTTCCCTCATGAGGGTGAAGTCTGTTAACACGGCGTAGCCCATGCATGGGCACAGGGGCACTCACCCACCCACCTCCCATCATGACAGGTGGAAGGGGGAGGGGGGAATATATAGTTGTCCCTCATGCATGGGAGTAACGACCCTCTGCCACGCCCCGCATGACCTCGCGTAGTAAGACCAATACTTCCCCCCCCCCCACACCAACACACCCTGCCCCACTGCTAGTATAATGTTTCCTTTACCCATAATGTTTAAATCTAACATTAACAGGAACACACTTATGACCATAATGAAGGATACGATACGTCAAGATTGCTGAATGCGATATTGTTTATCGTCTATTGAAAAATATATATAATAATTTACAAACATTGTGTTCCTTTGAAAGGAAATAATAAAAATAAGTTCGCATTGTTCAACGTATTAAGTGGACAAAGAGCAGAGTATATTTACTAACAATCCCAGGTTAGACTAACACAATTGCTGGGGTCAGATAAGTTTTGCACGACTCCTCATGTTCTTTTCTTATCAAACCAAATTTAGGTCTTCGATCCTTCTTAGCTTTCAGGACAGGACGAAACCTGGAACAAGTTTATACCTTTAGTGACATTTTGATAGGTGGTAGTGATGATGATGGGGATGATGATGGTGATGATGGTGATGATGACGATGGTGATGGTGGTAGTAATGATGATGATGATGGTGATGATGATGACTATGATGATGACTATGTTGGTGATGATGATGATGGTGATGTTGATAATGACGTGTCACATTAATTTCCACACTCATCTCCAATTTCCATGACCCCAATTTGTTTGATGTTGGAGTTTCATGTAATTGATGTGAATTTGCTTGTTCTTCTTGCAGGCGGATTTCGGGGTCCTTGCTCTCGTTTCTTGCTAATTGAATTTCTTTTATTTCATATTTTGACCTTTCTCATATAATATGCCTGACCGTACTTTGCTTGGTTATAGTGTTCATTTATCGTTGAGGGATTATTGAAGTTTGGAATTAAAATATTGATACAAATTATAAATTGCTGTGTTTGTGTTTATTTTTTTTTCCGTATTCCCCCCTATAATGAAAAACGGGTCATGCTAAAGAATAGTAAAACTTTAGAATAACTCTATCAGGGACGGCGATCCCGGGGACCCAGGGGATATTTCATGGGGAAAATATACAACAACAACAACAACAACGTCATTATCATTATCATTTTGAACAACAAAATGTACGCCAAATTATTAGAAAAAAGAACAACACACTATTTGGGTTGTGAAGTGCTCTAGAATTCAAGTTTAAATAATACAAAATGGAAACTCTTCTAGCTCGTTACCTGTACAAAACATTATTGAAGGGATACTTATTGTGTATTACACGAAGGCATCGTCAAAACGAATTTTCAATATTATACGCCTGCCGTTAGTCATTGTGAATCTTCAATCATAGATTTCTCATACTTTATTTTTTCATGAAAATTTAATAATTCTTTTATTTCTGAATTTCCTGCTTCCATCCAAGCCTTCTTCTTTTGGCAGTTTAATTCTTATCTAAGAATATTCGTCTTTCGTTGTTACTTCACCAGCGAAGCTTGATATCAAAGTCCTTCCATGTCCGGTATAGCGCAACGGTTTGCCCAGATTTCATAAACCACCACGACGTTTATCTAGCAATTTCACTTAATTAATTGTTACATTGATCACAAAGTTACCTTTACGAGATAAAGTTTCTCTTTGGGTTTTTATAATCGGGTGTTTTAGATACGCAGTTGACCTACCCCATTTAGAAGAAGAAAGTAAAATGTTGCTGCTGTTCCATCAAAATGCCCTGGCGATCCTGATAACAGCGATTTTAAATGAGCCAGTGTGGTCAATGTGGGAGAAGGGTGTCGATTCAGTTTCGGGTTAAAAATAAAACAGGTCCCAATGCAGGAAATGTTGTTTTCTTCTTAAGACATTTGTAGGTCATTGGAAGGACTGTGTATGTGGTGCGTTTTTAGACAGACATGTGTAATTGCTGGAGCAAAAGGAAAGGAATGGGTGTGCTTCTTTGCAAGAAAAAACATCTTTGTCACTAACTGATAACCAAATTGGCAATTTGTGTAGTGATTTCCATAATTGTTCTATAGTTTTACAAACTTTTTTTCGAAAATTCATAACTTTCTTATTAGTTATCCGATTTTGCTCAATTTTGTTTGATTGGTTTGTCTGATTTTTCTGCTTCTATTGAAAGTAACTTATTTTTGGAGTGGACTTGCACTTTAAGTTGACAAGTACAATAATTGTAGTACACATTCCAGAGATGTACTAAAAAGACGGTTTAATCCGCTTTAGGTGATCTCTGTTTATGAGCGTTACCCGTCGATCATCACTAGTTACAACTTTGATGCGGCCATCTTTGGTCCAAACATGCTTGATGTCGTTTTTCAGTTTATATTTGATTTGCCAGAATAAATCAGTCCCAAGTTTTGTGAGGTTTTCCTGAATGAAAATGGGAGGTCCTTGTTGATCACGTAAATTCCTCCTACCTCGGTAGACAAGATTACGAATGTTGTAATTCGTGAATTTGGCTATTATTCCACGGGTTTATTTTCTGTTCTTCCCCTTTGATTGACCCAAACGGTGTGATCTATCCAAGTCCTTGGCGCTGATGTCAATATCCAGCCTCTCCTTGTATAGATCTTTCACTTTCACATCAGTGATTTCTCCTTCTCTTTCATTAACACCATCAAAAATCAAACAAACATTATCAATCATTTTTTTCTCTTTGCCTCTTAGAGGTGTGTTCAAATATATTTAAGCGAATTCGCAGGAAATTTCATATTTTGTACTTCCAAATGTTCATTTATCTTTATTCTGTTAGTCATTTCTCTCTTAAACAAATAAATCAAATTCAACTCTCTATTATCATACCCATACTTATTACGGAAAATAATAATGTTATAAATAGACCAAAAAGTAATCGTCATTATCAAATCGATTTCAGTTTGCGAATTCATTTTGAGTAATAAAACAATATCTATTTCTATTTTAAGATTGAAAGCATGTAAAACTAAGTCCTTTAAATATTCAAAGAAACTTTCGTTTGCCTTACATGAAATAAACGCATGAAGAACATCTTCAGTCTCTTTGCAATTTAAACAAAGGTCATCGTATAGAAGACCCCACTTGAACAGATTTTTCGAACTGGTAGCATATTATGTAAAAGCTTGAAATTAAATTCACGTAGACCAAATTCTTTAATCCCATTAATTCCTATTAAAAACAAAGGACAATTTAACGTCCTTCAAGACATTTTCCCAAGACAAACAGCATTTATTTATTTTAATTTGTTTAAAACTTATCACTACTCAAATGATTAACAGGCTTAATTGCTTTTCCAAATACAATGTGGGGGGTAAAGAAATTATGATCTTTGAATCCCAAGGGTACCCTATGCTTATCATTTATCCAAATTTTTGGAATTGATTTTTGTAGCTTTGTATAGTAAAAAAACAACAGTTGTTATTTCGTCTAGTTTTAAGGTGGATAAATAAGTCATTTACTGAAACAAAAGTACCATTTTTTAAAGATACCCTTTAAATATATAATACCACTCTTATACCAGTCTTCATAAAATAACATTTTCTTTTCAAAAACAATATCTTGATTATACCATAAAATATTTTCGTCTACATGTTTATGTGCCTGACATTCAACTGATGTGTATTTCTTATGAAGTACCATGCATGTAATATTTCTATATAAAAATGTGGCACATTTCTAAGTTTTAAATGCATCATCAGTATAATTGCAATTCAGCAGTAGATGCAGCCCACCCAAACAGTCAAACCAATGTTGACTCATATCTTTCCAAATTCCTTTTGTATTATCTAAAAACATTCAAAGCCACTTCAGCCTAAAACTAAACATTTGCCTTTTAACATCGATCATTCTTATTCTCCCTTCACAATAATCCTAGGTAACAATACATCGTTTTACCTTTCAATTTTCCAAAGAAATTTAAATATCAAGCTATCAAGTTTTTTTATAAAAAAATAGACGGTATTGTATCAACGATCATTAATTGTATAACTTGACTAATTGCAAGTGATTTAATATTAGTCAGTCTTCCAAACAAAGTCGGGTTTCTTTTTCTCCAGTTATCTAGCATTTTTTGCATTTTTTTGGAGAAACTCGTCGTATCTGGAAGACAACAAGCGGCAACTGTATCGTCTCAAAACTACCCATCGCACCATGACTACCAGACGCGTGCTCAGTTAAAGATTACGCAATATCTGCATGGAGATAGTAGTCAGCCGCCGAGGGAGTCGAAGTAAACAGACCGGATAATGGAGATAGTAGTCAGCCGCCGAGGGAGTCGAAGTAAACAAACCGGATAAGTTACTGCAATTACCCTGCCAGGTAAAACAGAGTAAAATTAAATGTAAACAAAAACATTACATGAATGCTTATTCTGTCGTTGCTCAACGGGGGGGGGGGGGGGGGGGGGGGTCTGCTGACCGGCCAAGGAGGGTATAGGGGGATAGGGGGACGTCGAATAGCGCGTTAATTCTTTTTATGTTTCCTTTTCACCTCTTCCATTTTACCTCTTTTTCTTGTTCCTCTCTCTCTCTCTCTCTCTCTTCCTCTCTCTCTCTCTCTCTCTTGTCTGATCGTTTGGTCGTGGTTAGCACAATGAAACTGTTCTTTGATAGGGTCCTTTCTTCTCGCCTTCCGATTGGAGCACCGCCCATGTATGCCCTCTCCGCATATAGGTATTAGTCCAGAATATGGCCTATTTGTATAGGCCTACGCAAATAATGCAAGGGACAGTGTATTTCTGTTTTCATTTGGGCCATGTTAAAATGACAGGATACATTGCAACCCTTCTCTATAGTTCAGTGAGATAAAATGTCACTAATCAATGTATATTCCTCGTCATTATTCACCGCGGCCACTACTAACCTCACTGCTCGGCTACGCACTGAACTACATAACAGGAAACTGTACCTTTCTTTATATCGATCTGAAACGTTCGCTGCGAGCGAAGTATGATGAGTATGTTCATTCACTCATAACCGTAATACAGTCAAGTTGGTTTTTTCTTCAAACACCGATAAAGCGAGTACGAATTATTTTGACATGTACTTTCGACAATTGCCTTTCGTGTAGTGAATAGCTCCACTTTACATCATGGAGCAACATGTATAAATACTTTGGAATTTTCGTGAGGATAATTATGCTGGTGGAGAGAGAGAGACACATAATCAGATAATATTCCTCGTCAGCATTCACTGCGGCCACTATCCTCTCTGCTCGGCTATAATGATGTACTACAGGAAAAGTTCACTGCTAGCGAAGTATCTGAGCGTGCTCATCTCTCTGGATTGACTGAAACGGTTTGACTGCACTTCGCAGCCAATAGCTGAATTATGTAACATTTACATTGGAATACGTACAAATGCGGTTCACAAGATGCTGTTTGTTGTGCTGATCTCACAAGGCCGTATGTAGAGACGTGCATGTAAACATTATGTGGTACATGTAATATGGACATCTGTTCGAGACACATCACAGCTTGAATCGGGTATTCTTATTATTCCGTCCCAGCTTGCATGATTGTGAACAGTCATGGGCTACATCAGAAGTAAGTGATTTCTACAACTTGAATTTTCTATGTTCTTTTTCAGTTTCTTCGTCTATTAAATTAGGGTTCCTACCACAATTCGATATTGACGTTGATTTCATATTGCATCCAACCCAGCACTGCAACAGTGATCGACATGTCCCTGCACGGTCCATGTGTGGTGAATTAAACATAGGTTGTCGATCCCTTTTGAGCCATTTTAAGTTGATTAAATAAGGTATAAGAATAATGAATTGACTGTTTAATAAACATGAGGGAATTTTGATGGAGTATACAATGCACTTTCTCCGCTCATTTTCGTTCAGTTCATGGTATATTAGCGATTCCATCTTTTAGTTACAGTATCTGAATTTTGCTCTTTATTGATTTTGATATGCCAAATATTGATAAAAAACGTACATTCAAAATAGCAGCCAGAGGCTGAAACAAATTGAATTTATAAAAAATAGATACATACAAAAAAATGCATAACATTAAAATCGATTTGGTAAAGTACAATAAGACAAATGTGGTAGAAGATTAGAAGGACTGATAAGATAATAAAAGAGAGAGAGAGAGAGAGAGAGAGAGCGTAGAGAAACTGGAGAGGAGACTAGACAATACTCGGGACAGATAGGACAGATAGGCCGACTGTAAAAGAGAAATAAAATGTTAACAAACTATAGTGAGGCTTAGAAATTACGATTATAATACCGTAAATGCAGCATCATTGACAGCATATTACATGTATGGCAATTTATGCTCTAGAATTTAGTATTTCATTTTATAATCGGTTATTATTGGTCTCAAAACTACAAGAACACACCCTAAATAACGGAAACCGGGCGTGTTAAAGCAGAAAGTTTACAGCTTCCTGGTTGAAGCATGTAGAAAAATATATTGGTATAATCATTAATAAATATTCAGATATAAAAACAGCTTTACAGAATCGGGCAAAAAATTGTTGATATTTGCCTCAAGATCCATATCTGTATCTGAATCTGTCCGTGACGTACAATCATCAGCATCTGGTTGTCGCGTACGTAGGGTTAGGGTCAAACGGCAAACGCCCAAAACGCCTAAATATTGAAGCGTGCTTCGGCTACAAGGTTTTTAATATCTAATGAGTCCAATTTGGTTTTGCAATTTGCAGCATCATTGATCATATTAGAATATAATCATTATTAGATAATTGAATTAATACAAAATAGCGGTTAAATATGAAGGTAACATCGGCAACGAACTAGATGTAATTAACAAAGTTTGTATGCATGCGGGATGGGATGCCCAGTGTTTCAAGGGCTGAATAGTAGGAAGTATAACCGCTCAGGATAATAAGACTGGCCCTTTTTTGGACGCGCTCTAGGTCAGCACAAAGAGATACCAGCTGTGTAATATCCTCCTTGGCCGGTCAGCAGACTGTTGTGTAGTGATTGCTGATGACCAGACAGGGGCCGCATATGATGTAAATGACATAAACATTCGCTAGTTCAGATTGTCGGAGATTACATATTGACCAAACCAAATCGCGTCGGAGAATGATGCCTACAATTCTAAGGCTGTCAACTTCCGGAAGAAGAGATTCAGCAATGTGCAACGCAGGAAAGACAGGTGGGCATTTAGCAAATGAGAAATTCATCACATTGCATTTTCGGGGATTAGGTTTCATGTCGTTTGCCACGATGACACCACTGTATAAGCTGATTGAGCTCTGATAGGAGGTATTATGGTTGCATTTTAGTACAAGGGTGAACCTCAACCAAGCATGTTATTGACGTACTTTCAACTGGCTTCAAAGTTGACAGCATCATTCACGACAACATCGGGGCAAGTTTATAGTCCCCTGGGGGTACCACTGGCGAGCTCAAGGTCACCAAATACGAATCGTCAGTTAAATCATAGACGTATGGTTAAATAGAAGACTGTACACCGTACTCGATCAGTTTCCTGATGACGACATTGTGATTTACTATGTCGAATGCTTCAGCGAAATTATTCGTTCACAGTACTGCACACATTGCTTGTCTATCAGTGCCCGTCATGATGGTGTCGATAAGGCTAACTAAGTAATGTGTAGGAGAGCTACCGAAAGCGTTGCCGAGCCGTCGAACATCAATAAATAAGATCACGGAAAATCCACCTGGAGAGAAATGACTCCATTACAAGAGAACAATTTGTGGTGATAAAAATTGGCCTCAGATCAGTCATTTCAGCTTCAGCAGGTGTGACAACTGCTCGCTTCCATGACCGCGGATATAGGTGCCAGAAAGGAGGATCTCATTGAAGACGATTGATAAAGGATCGGATAGATACAGTGCAAACTCTTTTCTGATTTTCACTAGCAGAACACTCTTTAGCTTTAGTGTAGATTTTTTAAAGGTAAAGACCAGTATTGGAAACGCCCCAATTTAAAAAAATGAAATGGAAGCTCTCATTACCAATCATGTGAAAGAATATGTTTTGACTAATACATGATGATAAAAAATTTGCCGCGAAACCGCCTACTAATTCATATATTTTGTAAATTTGTTTCTCTCATGGTCTGTGAGAGATATAGGTTAGTCCCATATACATCTTTCTGTGTATAGTGCTTGTAACTTTACGAAGAATGGGCCAAATTTCTTATCATTTTGATGATTCCAGAACCTTGCAGATGCTAGATGCTAGATGATCAACCTTTTCTGATCGATTCCACAACGTTTCTTTCACAATGCAATCGCATGACCATAACTGGTCTTTACCTTTAAGATCTTGTATATACATCTTGCTGGTGCAAAGTTAGAAGTCTCTTAATCTTTAATAGACTTGCCACTCCAGTAATACTTCACCACTTTATTCTGATGTTTTTTGTTTGTTTATTCATTCATTTTTGGCTTGGCGTTGTATTTTGGTAGAGTAGGCTACACAGAATTATATGTCATGCATGTAGATTATAGTTATCAAAAACAGAGTAAGAAATATTAGCTTCCATGGAAAGAAAATAGTGTCGAAAATATGAAATACAATATAATTATTAACAACACTATAACGTCCGTTGACAAGACCCTTTCATATGACACCTCAATCAGGAAAAAATAGCCAGGAATAACAAAATCCTGTTTGTTTAAATTAATGCTTGCATTTCCATAATGCAATTCCACGAATCCGTTTCACTGGCTGTCTGCCCTAACAACAAAGAAGACGAAAGACTTCACAAGTTCATGCATGGCTGATCGTCGACGAAACGCAGTTTGTTGTTTGTTGGCTGTCGCTATGGCAGGAAGTTCAACCTGATAATAGGCCAGTTTCGTAATGTAACCAAATTTAATGCATAAGTCTTTGTGAAGTGCCTCAATACAAAGTATTTCATTCACCTGATAATAATAATAGTATTTCAATAGTCAGAATGCAACTGCATATATTAAGTGTTGCTAGGTAGGTCAAGCCATAATGTTTGTCCAACCTGGCAACAACTAATGTATACTGTTCGGATTCTGTCTATTGAAATACTATTATTCTTATCAGGTGAATGAAATAACTTGTATTGAGGCACTTCACAAAGACTTATGCATTAAATTTGGTTACATTACGAAAATGGCCTATTAGTTGGTAATGATTATTGATGATGACTGATGATGGTTGATTGTTAGCTGAGTATTGTTTTACCTGATTGCTTAGAAAGGATATATATGTTTTTAGGTAAGAAACTAAGGGACTGACGGCTTTAAGTTCTCTTCGAGGGATTTGGTAATGAGGATCAATGCCTTACCAGAAGGCAAGAGCGCATCGACTTGTTATCGAACCCGGGACCTTCCGGTTACGAGTCCACTGCTCTACCACTGAGCTAGGACGCCTTCTTGTAATACATATTAATAAAAGCAGAAAAACGTGGGAAACAGTTGAGTGAAAGTTTGAGCAATGTCCGATTAAGAGTTGGAAAGGTATGAAATTTTAAAGTTGTCATCAGGTTGTATAAACTTGTTCAAACTGTCACTCATCTACAATAATTATATTTAGGGGGTATGTATGATTGAAAATGTTCTTTAAGAGAAAATAGAAATTTCTGACTTTTCTTAGTACATATAGCAAAAGGGATACGTCACAGAGTTGACAATTTGTGTTTGATTGATCACAACTTAAAAAACAACATAATTGTCTTATTTTTAATCGGATTTTGCTCAGACTTTCATTGACCAGTTCTTCGCATTTTTCTGCTTCTATTAAAACCCACTGAATATTAGGGGGGCTTCCCCTTGAAAAGACAGGGTATACTGATACCATTCCGTAATCATTTTACAAGGCGTAATGCATCTTTTCCTTTGTTTATACAGGACATATCTCCAGGAGATGGCTATTTGCTTTCCTCGCCTTTTTGGGTATCTCTTGTTTACACATCCTACGACTCAACATCAGTGTCGTCATAGCAACCATAGTGAAGACCAACAACAGTACCCATTCTCAGTCACGTGACAGCAACATTTCGACTCAGATGTGTTTCAGCGCAGAGGAGAGAGAAGTTGATAGTTTATCAAAGGAGAACAAGGTAGTTATGGTAGGGTCCATGATGGTCAAACAGTGGTGTAGCGATGGCCCTGCCATTAAGCATCATTATTATCGGGCCCCAGTCATTATTGGTGAATGAAATGTGAACAAATAATACCAATGATATCGATTGGGGGGGGGGGGCAGTGGCGGATCCAGGGGAGGGGGTGCCAGGGGGCACGGGCCGCCACCCCTGGCAAAAAAAGAAGAAGTTAAAAAAAGATAGTGCTCACTGATTCGCCGCTAAATAGTTTCTCACGAATTGGGCAACAACAAAAAATAGTGCTCATTACCCCCCCCCCCCTTGCTTTTTCGCCGACTGATTCGCCGCTTAATATTTTCTCACGAATTGCCCCCCCCCCCTTGGGCCACCGCTTTCGCAGCCGGGTGGATCTGCGGGGGTGGGGGGGGGGGGTCTCTAATCCCCTTTTCTCATCATTCCCCTCCCTTTCATTTGATCTCTTTACAAATTATGTTGTTTTAAACTTCATAGACTGCCCTTAGCTTGGTTCAAGAATATAAAACTGTATACAATGAAGGAATGTTCAAACGCAAGGCACCTTTATGTACATCACCAACACCCCTCGTCTCCCCCAAAACATTTGATCTCTCATAGTGTCCCTAGAGCCATTAGCAGGTCGGGGAATACTGTATTTTTCGATTTGTTACTATTAAATAATACGACCTAGTAAATTCTAGTACTTGAAGCACTTAAAATTGAGGAATAGGAAATAACTACTGTTATGCTTTATTATGAAGAATTTCACTAAATATGATGTGTTAACCAATTCGTATTCCTATCGGAGGTGTTGGGATAGATATAGTGGTTCATTCACTTAACTCTCTCCAGGAGTTCAGGGTTCGAATCCCAGCCCAGTACGTGCCAACGTAGAAGTGTAGTAGTCGAGTGGTTTAAGCACTTGACTTGAAATTCAAAGGTCATGGTTCGATCCCCAACATGGCACTAATGCTCTCTGGCAAGGCGTTACTCTTCAATTGCGACACTCTACCCAGGTGAGGTAAATGGGTATCTGGCAGGACTTTTTCCTTGAAATACTGGAGCGCTGTAATGGCAGGTAGACTAAAGCCGGGGTAATAATTAGTGCGCTTCGGAATAGAATTTCTAGATAGACGGCGCTATACAAATGCCTATTATTATTATTATTAACGTCCTTTGGCAACAAATCAATCCACAATTATTGCCACTCTTTACCAAGGTGTAAATGGGTACTTGGCAATTGCTGATGTAATAATAATAATTGCAGGGCCCGCAGGAAGAGCAGTTCCATTATATTATCAGGTGGGCTGTATCTCATACAGACCACCTTATAATTTTGTTAAAATCGCCTTTATCAGTTGGTCTGTATATAATACAGATCACCTTATGTTTTCGTTAGAATATTTTTCTTATTTCTAACCACTTTTTTGTTAGCACGATAACTTTCATAAAGAATCGCGCGCGCGTTTTCGTTTGTCACGGCCGAACGCAAAATAATTCACCCTAGATTTTTTTTACACAGTATTCCTCATGTTTTCCCGAACAATTTGATACCATGTTTATCTCTTTATGACCATTAATAAGGGTATGAGCGTCCGTTCAACATAAACGTCCGTGCGCGCGTGCTCATGTAATACATAGCATATATGGGCAACAACATGCCTACACAAAACCCTTATGACTCTTTGGGATGGACGGGAACCCTCAATTTTGTTTTCATATTCGGATAGAGTATGAGTCGGAGATGTGATTTCATGTCTCATTAGGCCATTAAGTATATCGTGTCATCATCATATGGACCTTGGAACTCAAAATACGAATTTGCATATTATGACGTCAGCATATTTATGTAAAATTGATTGTATCTTTGTAAATATTGATCGATTTTCTTCCAAATTTCGATATGTTGTAGCTAAGACAATTCTCTAGTGAAAATTACGATTAAAGGGCACGTATCAGAAATTTCTAAAGTTGCGTGTTATGCCTATGGAAGGGGAATTTCGTTCACATCATTAATCTACATGACATTGTTTTTTAGCAGTATCTCGCTTATTTTTGCTCTATTTTGTGTCAAATTTTAGTTGACCAGCCCACCTATACTTGTTCCAAACAAGTATTATATGTCTTTTTATTATTATTTCCCCTCTGTTTGAAACACTATTTCATGCAGCAAGCTGAATTTGAATGGAGTAGTCACACACAGGAGCTCCTTCTTGCCTCCTTCTACATTGGCTATGCCATCATGCAGGCACCTGTGGGATGGATGGCAGACACTTTTGGCGGGAAATGGCTTTTTGCAGCCGGTGTGATCGTCTCTGCGATCTTGAATATAGTAGGACCTGTCGTCTTACGGGCGAGCCTGCCGCTCTTCTTTGCTACAAGGGTTGTATCTGGTATGGCCGAGGTAAGGGATGATTTCAAATCTCCGACCAAGAAACGTATTTGTTTTCTTAGATATTTTAAGATGAAATTGTTTGCCTAAAGTGTACCAATCACCCAAACGAGTTTTGCGATCCACGAGTATCAGAGATTCTAGTTAAATAACGATCCGTTGTTGCAGACTGAGTAAACATTATCTTGAAGATATGAGGGGGAATTACCGTTCACAATATCAAACATAAGTTTACATTTTTGGAATTGCGAACGTTTTTCCATGTTCGTCCATTTGAGTTTTGAGAACATTTCTGAACTTGGTGTAAATACATTCATTTGGAGAACAACCCTAGCCATCTGTTTGTGCAACTTAATCAGTGTATCCCGAAGACCTTGATTACAATTTGACCATGACATGCAGCAATAGTCAAAATATGGTAATACCAGTGCATTTGTTAATAACTTTGCTCCCACCACCACCAACACTTCAAGTATAACCTCTATTACAATCATGTTTCCTCTACTCAAAGGCCGTTGCTTTTCCAGCGTCTAACACATTAACAACGAAATGGGCTCCAGATAATGAAAAGACTACGATGACGTCATTGATTGTATCAGGTAAAACTCAGATTTCGATAATTTGACAAATGTAATTTCATAAATCATTTACCCTTTTCAGTAAGATATGAAATCATGGATAGATAATAACTCTGAGATAATGATGTTCACATTTTCGACCTGTATGAAATGAAAATGTTGAAAAACTATTTCACGTTGAGGCTACGAAAATCATAAAAAATAGTTTTAACCGTTTTCGTTCATGATTAATCTTTTCAAGAATCCATTCTTGCATGCTATTGTTTCAATTTGGAGAGTAATTAATCATGCACTAAGTTAACTCCGGGAAGCTCCGACGCCGGTGCCGACATCGGCGTCGGAGCTTCCCGGAGTTAGCACTAAGTATGCAATTGTGTTACGTATTTACCATAAATAAGCTTCCTCGTGAATATTGTGAATCATCAATGTAATATGCCAAGTAATTTCGACTGTTACAAAATCCATAACTTTGTTAGTTTGGTAGAGTCCTTAACTATTGTATTGTTATAACCAGCTTAGAGTATCCACTCTTTCGGTCATTTTTACACACGCTACCATGGCGTTTCAAAAAAATATTATGATTAGATCTTTCGTTAAATCGTTCTTAAATTTTAATCACTTCTAATCAATAATTCGATATCTCAGTCGATTTCATATCTAACCGTTTAGTTATTATCTGGTTTATATCTTTTGAAGGTTCCGGGTTTGGATCGGCTGTCGGTCAGTTTTTCTCTGGAATGGTCTGTTCTTTCATCGGGTGGGAAGCTAGCTTCTACATATTTGGTAAGAAAAGGAATGTTCAGAGGAGCATATGTATCAGTATTGTAACACTCGTCGCTCAGTAGAAGCTTGCAGCCTGAAACGAGCGAAAGCTCACCTAAATAAATGTCAATAATTGATAGTTTTAAATTCTGGAATTCGACAAGTAAACATTATCCCAGAATATATTGTAACGAAATTAATTACAACTGTTACAGACTGCTCTCGATCTCGAACTCTTGTCTCTTCTCAGTTCTCATTCAGTTTCTCTCTCTTTCATGCGTGTATACAAAACAAATGCGACAGAAGAGATGGGGTACACCTATGGGTACACACAGAGAAATAAAAGGTGTTCTTGGGGAGTAAAACGAAATTGGAAAAATAGGGCGCCCCCTATTACAACTTTTAGGGAGTAAAACACGGAAATACGCAAGGATGTACATAAAAGTCATTTGAGGAGTGTAATTTTACACCCTATTTTAGTCAGACGAGCTCTAATTGGTCAATATATTTTTCTGTTGTGAGTGCATATGCGCATGCGCTACAGCAATTGCGCATCGTGATGATATAGGTACTGCCAAATGAAGGATAATTTACATATTTTAGTCATGTTGGGGGAATTATCATGTTTCATTTGGGCATATTATTTGTGTGAAATTTATTTGATCAAGAATAAGGGGTTGTACCGAAAGTTATATTTGATAATTTAATGAAATTAGCAGAAGTGTTGTTTTACTAACTAGTACATAATTGCCTTCTTATACGTGTAAGTAAAGGGAAGATAAGATTGTGTATTTAGATGTGTCCACTACATTTTGATCCGATACGTCCATCCAGGCCAGCCTCACCCACATATTCTGGTCTGATATCTTTAGAGCAGTGAAACGTAGACAAAAGGGTGAGAATCAGTGACTGTTAGGTGATTACGAAGCATGGATGATTGATTGCTCAAGGGATGATCAATTGGTTAATGCTGTGCATAAGAAGTGTGTAGATTTACTCCCCACAGGGTGTAGAATTGATCATATCGGGTATAAAATTTTACCCCACGGGTGTAAATTTGAACCCATTTTTCAGGAAAATGGAACCAAAAGGTGTTAATTAAGCACCATTGGGTGCAAATTTCACTCCTCAAAGGGAGTAAAATCATAACATTCTGGTGCAAATTTACACCTTATTGTGGGTTGTAAATTTACTCCCTGAGGGGTGTCACTTATGCGACAAGCATTTACTCCCTATAGGGAGTGAATTTACACCTCTTTTTCTCTGTCTGTAGGTCGATCGTGAATCGCAGTTCTATTCGTCGTTTATTACTTTGAATAATGACAGCTCGGTAGAAATTAATCGTGCTCTTTAAACGGCACTAAATACAGTCATACATTGTACTATCAGAACGTTTGCAGATTTGGAAAGCGACAGGAAGGAGTCTCTCGATTTTAGATCTACCTGTCTTTATATAGGGGGCTATATTTATACTGTTTTCTAGCGGGCCGATCTCAAGCTAAGGACAGAGTCTGTCCTTAAAGTTGATACTCATTGCTTATCAATGGGGTTAAATCTCATATCAATCCAAAGGTCTGGCCTCAGCTCGTTTCAGTCGGGGGCCGCACGCGACTGTGTGTCTGCCCTTGCCATTACGTAAGACAAGGACAGACTCTCATGTAGTCCAGATTCAGTCCGTTCTCTGTTTCTATTCTTCTGCAGTCGGCATCTGTCTGTCTTGAAAGACAATAGAATATTGCGCTATATAGTTGTCAGTTTCTTGGTGTGCAGCTCCTGCTGTGACTGAACAGTCCAATCCTAGAGAGACAGGTCCTGTTGCAGTTGCTGCAGATAAAAGTCATTTGTGGCTGTGCTGTTGGAGCCGTAGCTAGCTGTTGTCTTTGTTGTTGTCTTTTCTCCTCCCACTGTTCTACTCTCCTCTGCTCACTCCTCTGTACACCCGTCTTCACAACGCGTCTCCATTCAGGACGGTCTGAGGCATATGCTTCCCAGTTTGTAGGGTTGATTTCACTGGCCTTCATATCCCTCTTGCACACATCCTTGAAGCGAAGGACAGGTCTTCCAACAGCCCTGGTTCCGGTCGCTAACTTTCCATACATTATGTCTTTTGGAATGCGGCCGTCTTCCATTCGGCTGACATGACCAAGCCATCTCAGTCGTCGTTGTGATAGAAGAGCATAGATGGTCATCATGCCTCCTTTCTTGAGGACATCCTTGTTTGGAATGTGGTCCTGCCATTTGATGCCTAGGATTCGCCTCAAGCAGCGGAGATGGAAAACGTTCAAACGGCGCTCCTGACGTGCATACAGGGTCCACGACTCTCTGCCATACAGGAAGGTGCTGAGCACACAGGCCTGGTAGATCTTCATTTTTGTGTTGGTAGTTAGTAAAGTGTTCTTCCAGGCACGCTTTGAAAGTCTAGCCATCATGGTTGCTGCCTTGCCAATACGTACGTTGAGCTCGGGATCGAGGGAGAGGCTGCTGGATATCACGGAGCCGAGGTAGGTGAAGTTTTCAACCACTTGGAGGGTGTAGTTTCCAATGGAGATATCGGGAACGCTGCGTACATCCTGGCCCATGATGTTTGTTTTCTTTAGACTGATGGTCAGGCCAAAGTCTTCACATGCTTCTGAAAAACAGTTAATCAGCCTCTGTAGAGCTTCCTCAGACTGGGATGCCAAAGCCGCATCATCTGCAAATAGCATCTCTCTAATCAGGAAGCTCCTCACTTTCGTCTTCGCCCGAAGTCGTGCAAGATTAAACAGTTTTCCATCGCTTCATGTGTGTATGTACACGCCGTCTTGAGATGACCTGAAAGCGTGTGATAGCAGCACAGAGAAGAAGATCCCAAAGAGCGTGGGAGCAAGCACACATCCCTGCTTCACTCCGTTCTTGATTGGGAAGGGGGCCGATGTAGAGCCGTCATACTGGATGGTGCCCTGCATATCGTCATGGAAGGATAAAATCAACCTTAGCAGTGTAGGTGGACATCCTATCTTCTGTAGCAGATTGAAGAGGATCTTTCTGCTGACTAGGTCAAAGGCCTTTGTAAGATCGATGAAGGCAATGTACAGTGGCTGTCTCTGCTCCCGACTTCTCTTGTAGTGCTGCTCGCTTTGCTTCGATGACAGGCTCCAATTCTGCGATTCCAGCTACAAACCAGTCTGGGTTTTGCTTTTCTCTTTTGCCATATATTTCCATGGCTGAGTGACGGATAGCATCGCGAATGTGATTCCATCTCTCTTCAGCACTAGTAGAAGGAAGGTCCTGGAGGGCCTGTTCGATGGAATCGGCGAAGAGATCATGCAAGTCAGGATTCGATATCTTGGCAGTGTTTATGCGGGGGCGACATTTCTGCTTTGAGCGATGTATTCGCCTGGGTTGAAGGCGCACCCTGCTGGCAATCAGTGAATGGTCTGTGTCACAATCAGCGCTGTGGTAACTACGGGTGACTTGGACGCTGTTTAAGGATGAAGTTCGTGTAATAACAAGGTCAAGCTGGTGCCAGTGATGAGACCTGGGATGTCTCCAGGATACCTTGTGGCATGGTTTTGTGGAGAAGAACGTGTTCGTAATGCATAGGTCGTGATAGGAGCAGACTTCTAGCAATCTTTGACCATTTTTGTTCAGTTTTCCAATGCCGAAGTGTCCGATGCATTTGGGCCAGGAGTCATGATCCGTGCCCACCCGTGCATTGAAATCTCCTAGTAGGAATAGGTTCTCGTTGGCAGGAATGTTCGCAATGACAGAGTCCAGGTGCTCATAGAATTGATCCTTAGTCTCCACAGAGCTGCAGAGGGTTGGTGCGTAACAGCTCAGGAGGTTCACTGGACCTGAGGCGGTTTGCAGTCGAAGTGAGAGGATGCGTTCTGTGCCTCTGCTTGGTGGTTCAATTGAGGAGAGTAAGGAGTTCCTTACTGCAAATCCAACACCATGCTGTCGCCTTTCCTGCGGTTCTCTGCCCTGCCAAAATATAGTGTAGTCTTCCTCTCTAATACTGCCATCTGAAGAGAGTCTTGTCTCTTGCAAAGCAGCAATGTCAATGTTGAGCCTCTTTAGCTCACGGTCGATTACCGCTGTTTTGCGGGTGTCATCAACCTCAAGTAGATTGTCTGTGATGCCAGGACACATGGTCCTAACGTTCCAGCTTGCCAAACGCAAGACTGGTGTTTTCTTTGTATTTTGGTTATTGCTTGGTGCAGTAGTTTCAGTCCGCTTGTCGAGACAATCCTCTAAGCTCCAAGCACCCGATGAAGCAGGCGGCCTGTGGCGGGTCAGCACCTAATTAACTGGGGGCTGCCCAGCTTGAGATGGGCGGTAGCTGACCAGTGGAACGCGAAGATCCCTCCCACCGTCGAAGGCAACCCGTAGCGCCCGTATCCTACGCCAATCGGAAAGGGCTTATAACTTGTAACTGCTGCCTCCCGTGTTGTTTCTGCCACTTTTGACAGTAGCACTAAAGTGTCCTCTCCAGAGCGCAAGCCTGGGCTGGTTATATGGAGATCCTGGGTAGCCCAATCGTCAGAATCCCCCTCTCGGCCTTACTGATGTGGTCCAAAGGAGAGCTGAGCAATACATTTGGCACCAATTTAGCTGCAGGAGTTGCCGGAAGAGTGTGTCGAGTTGAACACCAGACCGCCTGCGGGGCTCCACTCCGGTTTTCAGTCAGGTTTACTCCCTAGCTATTTCTCCATAGCTGGATGTCAGTTACCCTGGACAGGGGCCCATACCGGGTACTGTCAGCCGGAGCCAGCTGAGCCCGTGACTCGTGACAGGCAGGGTCGTCACGCCCTGAAGCAGTGAACAAAGTCACTACCCACTACCCACTATTCTTCTATCACAAGCATATCTCACACACAGCGTGGTATCTCAACTGATCGCGCAAACCCCCAAATTTCCGTCCACACGAACGTTACGTTGAGTGTGTGTTATTTTATCAGCTGATTGGGCGCTCGACACGGAAACGGTACTAGTCTGGACTAACTCTCGTGACGACCTTGGCTTACGCAATAGAAATTCCAGAATTGCTCGAGGACGAAAAACAATTATGCACATGATCTAAATTCGTTACACTATCTTATATTCATTTTGATATTTCTAGGCGTTGTGTAGATAGTTTTCTGATAAGAAGATTTTTTGTTTGTTACTCCAATGTTATTGTGGGCAGTTTACTCATTCTATGCCCGTTTTCTATTTATTTCCGTAGGTGGTGCCTGTTTGCTATGGGTATTACTCTGGGCATTCCTGGTCTTTGAAGATCCTGGAGTTCACCCATACATATCTGTCGAAGAGAGGAATAAAATAGAGGAAAACCGGTCTCGCCGCTCCAACATAAAAGTATGTCTCTTGTTGTGTATCAAACGTTTGAATTCATGCATTTACACAACAGAGCGTTTTCCAAACGCAACTATTTTTGGAATTACCGAACAATCTATCACAGTTCAGGTGAGGTTCAAAAACTTAGTAAAAGCTTATTGCCATTCAAATGATGAAGCAATTGATAGGGCACTGCCTTTGCTTGACCTGAGAGCTTAGCTAAAGCAAAGGCTAATGGTATTGATATGATATTATTGTAAATATGTTATGTTTGAGTTTTATTTTCAATTAAAAAAAAATGGGGGGGGGGATGCAAAGGCTATTGGTTATAACAAAATGTTATCAAGTAACTAAGGCTCCTGCTAGTCATACGGTATTACTTTATATCATCATCATCATCATCATAACAATCACGAACACTATCGCGATCACCATCATAGCTATCATGATCACCATCATCACCATCACCGTTATCACCATCATCACCATCACCGTTATCACCATCATCACCATACCTTCTCAATACCACTGTCTATCTAATTAAATAGTGATGTAGTCAACCCCGATCTTTGGAATAGCATGGCCCTATGTCTTACTTTGAAAAAAAGGAAGAAACTGTCAAATCATACTAATTGAAAATACGAAATTTTTCCAAAAAATAAATTCTTCTCGGAGTGTAAAATGGGGACAGGGATCTCCATGTCAATAAGCCAGTTCGTAAATAGCTTCGGAACGCATGTCCCCCAAATATCCATAGATTTTTTACACTATGGATAAGTCCCACTTGTGCATTTTAGAATAATCACTGTCGAAGTGATGGAGGTGCTTCATGAATACCGTTTGTTTTCCCTCTTGAGAAGAATACTTCCACCTGTGTATCAGATAAATCTACTGTCGGTACATAAATGAATACTAAGTACATAACTTTCATGAGCACGATACGAGTATTCGTCTCAATGGTTTTACAATTTGGGAACGAATGACCTTTATCTGCGCATGCGCAAATCCTAATTACGAACTCGCTTATTAATGCTCATTTTACTCTTTTGTCAATTTGTTGTTTGTTTGTTGTGCAAATCTCCCATTACAATACTGTGCCTTCTTGCGTGAAAGGGTATTATTTGTCAAAGAGTATTATCGAAAAACGGATTCGTACTTGATTGTGTTTTGACTTGTGGCACTAACACAATCACAAATCACCAAAGGTAGTTAACTTTGCATATTGTCAAACTGAAAGGGTTGGATCAAAAGCGAGTAACGGTGTGTGATTTTAATTAGTTATACATTAGATATATCAGCCATGTTTGTTAGGCAGTGTATGGGATAACGTGCACAGTTTTTATGATCCAATTATTACTTCCGTCTTTCATATGTTTCCACCATGGCCCTCTGTTCCTACTTTGTTGCCCTGGGGCGTTCATCATTGGGTGGATTCGAGCAGCCCCTGCTATCAGGGCCAGCAGTATCCCCTTCTCCAAACTTAGGTGTAGAAATTCAGGCAAAACAAGCCCTTCGTCTTCTCGAGTCACTACCCAAGCAGGGTCCAGTGCATTGACCCGGTGGTAGAGGTCAGTGGTCCAGTCGGGACGCATACTGTGGCCTTGGCATTGAAACCATCTGGGTCTAATGGGAGGGGGGGGGGGGGACTATAGCCACATGTATGCATGATGACAAAACAAGTGAATAATATTAGTTATATGTACTGCGTACTGCGTACACATGCCAATAATCTGGAGTTATACTTAAAGAAACGATGAATCTTTTGAAGAACAAAAATACAACTCTGTTAGCATACCTTTTATTGAATGAGAACACTAACCCGAAATCCATGAATCAAAATGCACATGAAAATGAATAAAACTTCAGCAATCCGGGCACATAATCTGTATTGGTGTCACTCCTCTTATATAAAACCAATCATGCAATAATGATACTCATAACCATAAAATGCAATATATTATAGGCAGCCTTATCTCTAAAGGTCAAACTGTTCATATCATCATCATCATTATCGAATGCCAGGTCTGTCTAGGACATCGGTGGTCAAGGCCCTCCTTTTCTGTCTATTTCTGCTATTCTCAATAAGCCGGCATTACTGATTTGATTGATGGTGGTCCATTTGGTTGTCCAGTTGTCCAGGCTTTGCAAATATGTAAGGCTAAAGCCAGTGTAATAATATGATTGCAAGGCCAGGCCCTCAGGAAAACAGTATTACTGATTAGGCTACCCTGGGTAAAAAGACATATTATTATTTATATTATTATATTTGTTATTATTGTTATTATTATTATCATCATTACTGTTTAACGCACTGATTTGTTTCCCCCTATAATTTCAGCTGAAGGCGATTATACCATTCCGTTCTATAGTGACGTCATTACCAGTTATTGCCTGGGGTGTTTCCATGGTAACCATAGCGGGTTTTGTCGTCTTCATCCTTCTCACGAATCTACCTCTCTATATGAAACATGTTCAACGACTGGATACCGTGAAGGTAACCGTATTTATAGTATACATTTATATGACATCCTGATCAAAGCATTTACAAAGTATTACCAAAGACGTTCAAGTTAGATTACAAGACATTTCAGTAAAAGACCATCGCGGATGAATGTGTATTAAAAGAAAAAAAGACTGAAGACGTTACGGTCTCCAAAGGTTACCACGGGAAACCAGGGCTCATGAGTATGACTTTGAAATTGAGTCAAATGTGAATTATATGAAAATTGAAGACGAGGACTACCAGAATCTCAAAAACCTGAAGAGACTGTGCATAAATTTGCGGCAATAGGGGTCATTTTGACCTTCGAAATTAAATCTGAAATGCGATTATATCTAGGTTAACAAGAAAACAAAAGTCTTTTAAGAACGATTATGCTACCCCTAGATTCTAGAATCTCTTTGAAAGGATTTGAAAGGCTTTGAAAGGGGATGAAAGGGGATTCATTAAAAAACTGAATAGCTGAGGAGACCTTCCACAAATTTGCAGCAATATACCTCTATTTTGTCTTTTGGGCACTCTATCATTAATACTCTTTGGTATTACTCCTCGGTCACTAGGTTTAAGAGGTACTTTCGACGTTTCACTTTACGGAAAAGAGTGCACTATAAAGTTTTAAAAAAATGAAAGTGAACAAGGGGTACTCGAAGATGCACCTAAAACGCCATAGAAAGGGGTTGCGAGAACGCAAATTAAAGGGCCCCTAAAATGCCCCCCAAAATGAAAGAAGAAAGCAGGAATGGAAAATAGTTATGTCATTATGCGCCTGTAATACGCAGGAAAAAGGAAATGAACCACCTATTATAACTTTTTAAACAAATTATTAAAAAATGCAAAAGAAAGGACAAAATCCACCGCACGCTTGCTTAGCTCCCTCGCTTGCTAGGTTACATGGTCCAGCTGCATTATTTGTCGTCCCTTTTCCCCTCGTCCCTTTAGCTTTACTTTCTTTTCTAGTCCTTCCTTTCTCTTCATTTAGTTTTAGGAGGATGGGGCATGTGCCCCCTATAGCTACGTCACTGAGTACGTAGATACGTTTTGATAGGGGTGGGGCGCAGACCTGGGCCCTGTTTCACAAAGATTCTAAGTAGAACTTAACTCTAAGTTGGACTTAAAAATTATGGAGAGCCATTTGTAGCCTTAAAATAAAATATATTCAAAAACAAAAATTCAAGTATTTTAGACTTTTGATAAATTCTACATCAAGAACATGAAATATCCCATGATAATAGAAAGTATGAATGATTTGAATCAACATTTTATGCCTTTTAAAATAACTTATACAAAATATTTTCATAGATGCTAACGGCTTTCCATAATTGTTAAGACCAACTTAGAGATAAGTTCAACTTAGGATCTTTGTGAAACACCCCCCTGGGCACTCTGGCCAAACACTGTCTTCCTGCGCGTAGTATAAGAACTTGTAATTGTCTACAAATAGAGCCGATTCTCCCTATACTATTTCTTGTAAAGTAATTATTTTCATATTTTTTTATCATTGATTCAGTCTCGCCACAATCATGTCCTTATTTTCATACTAGATTGGATATCTACTACCCATCCCCTTTGCTGCACACTGTGTTATGATGCTGGTTGCATCATCCTTGTCCGATATGCTGATTAGAAAAAAATTGCTTGGAGTTACGCAAACCAGGAAACTTATAACCAATATAGGTAATTTGATTCGTAAATTCGAGATAACCATTGATGATTGAACATTTGAATTTTGATGTGTACGTGTGTGTGCCTAGCCTCTTGTCGATGGCCCTCGCGTTGTTGGAGTCCGAAAATTCTGGCGAGCGAAGCGAGTCAGAGAAACCGAGCGCGAGCGAGGGCCTCTTGACAAGTGATCTGAATTTCTTATGTTTTACATTGTTTGGCGAATATTCCGACCCAAAAGAAGTCGGTGAAAGTCATCCAATCAGAGAGAGCTACTATGACGTAATATCTACCGTTCTGTGCGAATTACCCAGACCTGCCAACCAGTACGATTTAGTCGTATTTCGTACGATTTTTAGAAGCAAATACGACAGTACGATTTTTCTCAATAAAATACAATTAAAAAAAAAAAAAAAAAAAATGCCATTTTCTAAGGCAAAATGCACATTCTTTCCTGTAAAGTATCCTACAAGCATCTTGGGGATGTTCATTGGTTCATCTAACACAACAGTCGTGACGAAATCATGCATATTCAACCAATGATCCATTGAAAAATTTCTTCCTGTATGTAGGAACGGTATGAGGCATTGATCCACTTATTAGTCCGTGTTTATTTTTAAGAATACAACTTTTGGGATTGAAGAATACAGTTTTTGGACTCCAGAGGTTACCTCCGTAAAGGCCCGGTCACACAGAGGGGACGCATGGGGGACGCACGGCCAGCGCATTGGAAATTTGCAGTTTTGGCCAGTGCGTTGTCGTTCGCTAGACGTGCGTCATCATTCGTTACTCGTTCGTCGAGCGCGCTGGACCCACGCTATGCATTCGTCGTCATTCGCTGTGTGCGTCGGGATTTTTTGAGCATGCTCAAAAGTGTGCGCGGAGCTCGACGCATGAATGTACACGCCAAAGGCACGCCAGACATGCGCGGAGCGCGCTAGACCAGTGCCAGACGTACGCGGAGCACACGCCCTGTATACGCACAGCGCGCTAGCTACATGCTGTGCATTTTGCGTCAGCTCGCTAGCTTTTACAAAAATCATGACAAAAGTTAGGCACACGGCCTTTTCCGATTTCCAATACTTGGGCCAGGGCCGTGCGTCTTCTATGTGTGACCACCTCTGTTGACAACGCGGTGCATGCGTGGACCATTCGTCCAGCGCGCTAGCAACACGCTGTGCATTCGTGGAAGTTGTTATCATGTGCGCTCTGTGTACGGTCTGTATGCGCACTGTATGCGCCCTGTATGCGCTTAGCGCGCTAGCTACACGCTATGCATTTGGTATCAGCTCGCTGTAGCTTCGACAAAAGTTGGGCGCACGACAACGAACTGGCCAAAATTGCAAATTTCCAATGCGCTGGCCGTGCGTTCCCCATGCGTCCCCTCTGTGTGACCGGGCCTTACGAGCGAGACTGGCCGCCTAGTTGTAGTCTGCAAGCACAAACCTTGGTCAGTCGTAAAGAGAGTCTGCACTATAAGACTACCATAGGCCATGTACTATAGCTGCTCCTGACCTATATTGATACAACCAGTAGGTACCAGTAGGTAGCTGGGCTTGGCTTCTCTCAAGGCACAATGATTTTTTGATTAAGTGTCAAATTAGGGTCTGTGCTTGCAGACTAGCCTAGTTGGGCAATCCCAATACACACACACACAAACAAACAAAAATCGCTGCGGTCTAGACATGCATAATTCAGTAGGAAATCGGGTCTCATGAATATATAATTCAGATCACTTGTCAAGAGGCCTTCGCTCGCGCTCGGTTTCTCTGACTCGCTTCGCTCGCCAGAATTTACGGACTCCAACAAAGCGAGGGTCATCGACAAGAGGCTAGTGTGTGCCCTGACTCAGTGACTGCAACTGTGTTAAAGATGAACTTGAGTTCGGGTAAAAAAAGAAAATGAATTCTCACAGAATCAAACGAAACTTACACTGAATGTCCAAGATTACACACCCAATATTATATAACCATCAATTACTAGAATAATTTTCAGTCTAATTCATATCCATTTCTCAGGCAACTCAAGATTATCTTTTCAAGTACATGTCCTCCCGGGCATCTTTACACGAAACTGTCGTAAGCACAAGTTCACCGACATCCAATTTAAATGCGTGTTAAGGTTAATACATGCGTTCCAATGGGTTGTCGGCGAACTTGTGCTTATGACGGTTTTGTGAAAAGATGCCCTGCTCCATAGTTTAAGTCGATTGTCTGCTTTTCAATTTGTTGAGCCTATTGAATGTAATGGTAAATGTAATCTCTTATATACCTGTGTATCATGAAATTTTCTTTTAAACCTCTGAAATGTATTTTTATGTTACATACACTCATTGTGGCGTATTTGTTATAGTATTTCATAATCAGGACCATAATGAAAAACAGCTTTGCTGATCATGTTTATCCTGAATAAAGATGTTCAATTCAAACTATTAAACAAAACAAAATCACGAGGCCTACAACAGGTATTCATTATGCACTCAAACAGACAAAAATCCACGATCAAATTCACTTCAATTCTAATACAATTTTTGTACAAATATTTCGCCTGTAGTTATTGTAAGCTTTCAGACAGCGTGTTTTTTGTATTTCATGGTAATGTATCTTTTGAATGCCAAACAAAATAATGATAATGAAAATACATATATTTCTACCCCTCCCCCCCCCCCCTCTCTCTCTCTATCTCATTTTCAATATCCTCAGGTGCCGTAGTAACATCAGGATCCCTTCTAGCCGTATCGCACGTTGGATGTAGCCAGCTGAAGGCTGTTGCTTTAATGACCACGGCCATGGGCGGGGTCGGCATCGCCTTCGCCGGCATCTTCGTCAACGCCCAGGACTTGGCGCCGAGGTTCGCTGGAACGCTGTTCGGCATTGGGAATGCTTTCTCTGTGAGCACGGGCTTCATCGGACCCCTCATCGTTGGGTTGCTGACGGAGGACCAGGTGAAGTTTTGAAGGAGATAAACATAGAATGGAATGAGGGAGATGGGAAACAACAAATAAAAAAAGGGGAAAAAAAGAAATGTATAGCGTGAGAGAGGGGGAGAAAGAGAGAAAGATAGCGAGAAGAGAGAGAGAGAGAGAGAGAGAGAGAGAGAGAGAGAGAGAGAAATAGTAGGAGGGAAGGGGAGACATTTGGAGATGGTGAGGAAATTTCGAATGACGGTAAGAAGGAGTGTGTGTGTGTGAGAGAGAGAGAGAGAGAAACAGAGAGAGTGTGTGTGTAAGAGGGTATGGTAGGTGTTTTAGATATAAAAGAAGAAAGAGGAGACAAATGGGGAAGCGGTAGAAACAGCAATGACAATAAGAAAAGGTTAGATGGGGGGGGGGGGCGGGGAGTATTGAAAACATGAATATAATTGAAAGAGAAGTAGGGAGGGAGAAAAATCAAGTGGGTGTTGAGGAATGGAAGAAAGTGAACAAAAGAGGTATGTGTGCGAGAGAAATCCGATAGGAATACAAAACTATAATAACGAAATAAAAATGATTAAATAATGAAAACAAAACTATTTTTCTGTTGTCATTCCAGAGTGCTCCTGAGGGATGGAGGAATGTGTTCTACATGGCAGCAGGACTCAGCCTCTTTGGTGCCATCTTCTTCCAGTTGTTTGGGTCTGGCTTGGAGCAGGACTGGGCAAAGTATAACAGCGGTACACAATTTGACAACCTGGACGATGCGGCCTGTGAGAAAATGGATCTTAAAACTATCGGAGATGAAAAGTGTGACCATTTTACGGATACAGATGTTTAAATGATAAAATGGTGACTGCACATACTATTGGGTCCTAGCGGCTGATGTCATATTTGTGGTCATAATATTTGGAGGAACTTTGTCCACGCAAGCAAGAATTTTTTTTTTTTGATCAACAAGGACCATACATGGACTTCATAGTGTAAAAGTATATCAATACAGCTATAGAATGTGACGCTTTCAAGGATTGAGTCTTGGATAAAATGGCCAAGGAACTTTCCAAGGCTTTGAATATGCTTTTGAAGGTAGATTGATGCATAGCAACGGAGGACATTAGTCGAGATTGACATGTAATTATTGTATCGCAATTTGATATCAATCGTACCTCTGTACCAAAGAAAATAAGAACTCGTAAGTTTGCGATTGATTGGACGACTTGGGATCACTCCAGTTCACTCACAACTCTTTGTAAAGCAGGTCACTGGACAACAGAGAAAGCCAAACTATTCTGCATGCTTGTACACCATTCCATTTATTCTAGAAAATTCCATTAATATTTATCATTCCATTAAAATTAACAATAATTAAATACATGTAGATGGAGGTATATAACCAGATATTGTAGCGGGGAAAGAGAAATAGAAGTAGGCTGATCACAGTGCATGCATATACATTCTGCCGTGCACGTCAGTGCACAGCAATAGCAAATCTATGCTGAGAAGCCATTTTTCAACTTATGATTTAAAAAATTCAAAAACATGTAACATAATTTTTTCACAGATATTTCAGTCATTCTTTTAACCCACTATACTTAAAATCCTGTGGGTGTGGGTATTAGGGAAAGTATTTATTTTATTTTTTTAAAAAGGGATGTTTTTGACACCGCGCAAATTGGGCCAGTGGGTGTGTGCAATCACCACGGACAATACTGCACTAAATATCCCGGCAGATTGGAAAAAACTCCCCTGTAAAAAATGGACTTGCCACCAATGTTTCATTCACTGGATTTCAATGACCTTACCATATATGGTACCTGTGACCTTTCCCTGGCTACCCCAGCAACAGGTACATCGGAATTTTGTTTCTACACGAAGTTACATTGAGTTGAATGAATTTTCAGAAAATGCTCATAAATCCGTAAATATTGCCCGATTTTCAAATCCTAAACTGGTTTTCAGTAGTTTAACATCCATAGTTTCTTGCCACATGCTCCGATTTTTAATCCATCGAGTGAAACATTACTGGAAATTGCTGCGAAAGTTCAGCTCATCATTTTATTCAGCAAATGCAAGCATCTACAAAGCTCAAACTTGCTACAGTTGTTTTATATAGATCAGGAAGTTAGGTGAGAAGGAAAAAAAATATATAAACATTGTCTAATTTGCATAACGGTGTTGCGAATATGTAATTAGCTAATTATCAGCTCATTTGCATAATTAATTAGTTTTCATAAATCTTATTATATAAATGGATAGGGATTCATTAGTTGAAGCTTGCCACAAAGTTGTATCAAACAGACTCATTTAAAACTTGAGATATTGCATTTACGCATATTAATTAGCTGGACTTAGTCGTTTTTTGAACATTTCCAAACGTGCGGATTGGTGAAATTGAACAAAATGTGGTTTTTGTCAATCCGGTGCACCAAAATGCAACAAGTCTGGTTCTTGAATTTTATTTTTCATGCTTATTTCACTTTGGTTTCACAATACATATCATTTTTAAGACCATGTTATACTCTATTATGTCAAAAAAAACACCCTTAAACATGTAAAAAATCCATTTTTGCCATAATTTGCTATTTGCGGCAGGTTTTTGAATGATTTTACGATATCTTCAAAAGACTATATCTCAGGAATGCCTTGACAGAATTTGAAAATTTTTGCAGCAAAATAAATATATCATTGATATCTTTAATATGACACCAAAATAAAGAATGTCTTATGTGTATTATTTTTTTGAGTGCTCTACCTAATAGAAGTGGGAACTATACAGACAACTGCAGTGGCGGATCCAGGGGGGGGGGCACAGGGGGCACGTGCCCCCCCCTCCCTGGCCCCCCCAAAATATGTTAAACTCAGCCCTAAATGCGCCCAAAATGTACTAAAAAACAGGGTCGTGCCCCCCCCGGCCAATTTTTTTTTTAATTTTTAAATGTTTAAATTAAAAATAAAAAGAAATATGCCAATGGCTGACCAAAAGGTGACCTTAGCCCCCCCCCCCCTAACAGAGCAAAATGTCAAATTAACAATTATATACCTTTTTACGATATTTTTTCAAATATTTATAATTAAAAAAAAAAAAAAAAACAACACTAAAGCGAAGGCCTAAGATTTACATGTTTTCAATTAGGTTCATAGCAGAAAAGGAGAGAGAGAGAGAGAGAGAGAGAGAGAGGGAGGGAGAGAAATGGGTATATAGCAGAAAAGGAGAGAGAGAGAGAGAGAGAGAGAGAGAGAGAGGGAGAGAAATGGGTATATGGCACGTGCCCCCCCCCCCTCCCTGGCCCCCCAAAATATGTTAAACTCAGCCCTAAATGCGCCCAAAATGTACTAAAAAACAGGGTCGTGCCCCCCCCCCCCCCGGCCAATTTTTTTTTAAATTTTTAAATGTTTGAATTAAAAATAAAAATAAATATGCCAATGGCTGACCAAAAGGTGACCTTAGCCCCCCCCCCCCCCAACAGAGCAAAATGTCAAATTAACAATTATATACCTTTTTACGATATTTTTTCAAATATTTATAATTAAAAAAAAAAAAAAAAACACTAAAGCGAAGGCCTAAGATTTACATGTTTTCAATTAGGTTCATAGCAGAAAAGGAGAGAGAGAGAGAGAGAGAGAGAGGGAGGGAGAGAAATGGGTATATAATTATGCAGAGAGAGAGAGAGAGGGGGTGATTGATATTATATTATACAGAGAGAGAGATTGAAACAATATGCAGAGACAGAGAGAGAGAGAGAGAGAGAGAGAGAGAAATATACATATACAGAGACATAGAGGGAGAGAAAGAGAGAGATGGAAACAATATGCAGAAAGAGAGGAATATATTATGCAGAGACATAAAGGGAGAGAGAGAGAGATGGACGGAGGGGGAGGGGGGGGGGTAAAATGCATTTTCATCAAACTTATCAAGGTGCCATTCGTTCCGTATTTTTCAGAGTAACAAGAAGAGGAAAAATTGCCAGACGATACTGAACTTCATTGATTGATTGATTGAAGTGGTTTTTTGATTGAAAAATATTCATTCAAAATAGAAGCTAAAGGCTGAAACAAATTGGATTGACAAAATATTACAAAATTACATCAAAATACAATACAGATTAAATAAATACAGAAATGTGCATAGTAATATACAAAGTATGAATATCATTGCACATACAGAAAATCAGCAATGAAATGGAAAAAAAACAGTGGAATGAAAAGGAAAGAAGATGAAACCTGAAAAGAAGAAGAGGGGGACATGCAGGTGAAGTAATTGAAATGATTTAACACAAAACAATTATAATTCACACTCATTGGCATTATATTCACATTTTTTATAAGGTACGGAGACATGTTTGGATAACTTCAGACGTGGGGGGAGAAGAGGGGTAGAGGGAGTGGCGTGTGGCCCCGTAACCCCGATATTATTTTTTCTTAATTTATGTCCGGTTTTTCCTCCTAACCCCCCCCCCCCACACTTCCACCAAAAGAGGCGTTGAGAGGCCGACGGGATTCCTAAAATCAAAGTTTGTCCTCATTTTCTGACAATCATGGTAACGCCTCCTCCTCCCCCTCCCCCTACTTAACGTAGATTCCTTCATGAAATAAGTTATGGTCAACAATTTTAAAAGATACAGGGAGATCTTTTAAAATGCTGCTCTTTCATCATTATACACAGTCATGTCAGTGAAAGTTAGGAGCCTGAAACGGCGAACGATCGTGCGCCATCAAAGTGCACTAACTCCGCTGACTGAAGATTCCGAGCATATCCCAGCAGGCAAGTCGATGATGAGATGACATGGGTAAAATGAGTACATTCAGTTAACTCGTTGCATAACCCTGCACACCGTATGATGGAGTTGACCCGAAATCTGGAGAGAACTACCGAGTCAGGTAGCGACAAGTTCTCTGCCATTGCTCTGACGTAAGATGATCGAAATTCTCCAGCTGTATTGGGTTTGGAAAAAATAGAAAGGAAAACAAAATATCAGACAAGGACTTCTTGATGAATAACAATACATGGTAATGATGCTCACCATCATCGTCATGATCATCATACACACAGTTATGCTACTTTTACCTTCATGTTCTTCCATTCATGAAGCGTAAGGATGATAGTATAGTGGGCGCTATATAATTAGATATAATACACTGTTGGTCATAATGGTGGAATATTTATTTTTACCCCAGTTTAGGGAAGGATTTTAAAAAATTATTTATTTCTAATAGATCTAGATAATGGCATACATTCTCAGATTTTATTGAATATTAATTTGAGAGTGTTTGTTTTGCGTGACTGCTTAATCATATGTGTGCTACTATGCTAATCAGCTAAGGGACCAACGTCCTTAAGTCATAATTGACAGTAATGAGGATTAATGCCTCACAAAAGGGCACTAATATATAGCTGATCGACACGATTTTTATCCTGGGGCCTCACAGTAACGAGGCCATTGCTTAGCCCCTGAATCATGACTGTACGCAGTGTTTGCTAGGGTACGCGGCCCCTTCCACAAATCCCCCAAAACGAAGAAAATGCAATAAATTGTCAAAAATTCATTGCATTTTCCCCCGGCCCCCAACAGGAACAATTCCTCTGTGTGGCCATGCCTTGAACCATAATGCATGGCCCTACAGAGGAATTTTTCTGTTGGGGGCCGGGGGAAAATACAATGAATTTTTGACAATTTATTGCATTTTCTTCGTTTTGGGGGATTTGTGGAAGGGGCCGCGTACCCTAGCAAACACTGCGTACAGTCATAATTCAGGGGCTAAGCAATGGCCTCGTTACTGTGAGGCCCCAGGATAAAAATCGTGTCGATCAGCTATATATTAGTGCCCTGTTGTGAGGCATTAATCCCCATTACTGTCAATTATGATTTAAGGACGTAAGTTCCCTAGCTGATTAGCATAGTAGCATACATATGATTTAACAGTCACGCAAAACAAACACTCGCAAATTAATATTCAATAAAATCTGAGAATGTATGCCATTATCTAGATCTATTAGAAATAAATAATTTTTTAAAATCCTTCCCTAAACTGGGGTAAAATAATTATTCCACCATTATGACCAACAGTGTATATGAATAATTGCTGACCTTGTGGCTTCGTGGTTCGGGTCCCCTCTTCGATGGTTGGTTCCGTCGTCTCATCCGACTCGGTGGATGATTCAGTGGACGATTCTCCTGTAGAATCTGTATGTATACCAAGATACCATAATCTCAATTGCCCTGATCCAACGACAGTAATATCATTATTGCACTGGCTTATTTCTTCTTCTGCAATACATTTATTTTGGTATAAGATATTTAAGGTTTACTCAACATCGAATAAATGAAAGAATGAATGAATGAATGAGTGACTGAATGAATGAATGAATAAATAAATAAATAAAATAGCTCGTGAATGCATATGCTTATAGAAATCTGAATCAACGAATTGACAGATCTTGTGATAAAATTGTAAGAAAAGTTAATATTTTCAAGATCAACTTTATATATGCTGATATTTAACATCAAACATTTTAAAAGTTCTTTGATCTGTGAATATGTGAAATCGACACTCACCCCCGATCGATGCAGGAGTGAGACCATCTTGTGTACCGCAAGCTTCAAGTTTAAGAAAGCATGGAAAAAGGGGGGAGGGAAACAGACGAAACAATCGATATAAATTATTGGCGTTTATACTAATCCTCTGTTTGGTCATTCCACTTAATTTTCATTACGACCTTCACAATCATAAATGTCGTCATCATCAGCGTCGTCTATTTAATCGTCATCGTCATTATCGTCATCGTCATCTTTATCATTATCATCACCCTTATCTCCTCCCTGTTATAACTTGATAGGTCTTAGATTTGGGACGTATCAGTTGCTTTGATCTTTGTTTCTTAAAGGTAATACAACGTTTTGAGAAATATCGAATATTGGGTGGATAGTGATTCTTTACCATTTTTATATATTTGGATGCCCCTGTATCATAAGCACTAGAAAATTTAGTCCATAAAACACTTCCGCTTTCGAGAAAAATTGAATATAAAAATTTACCGGTGCTCCCGGTAAATGTTGATATATTTCAATTAGAGGCTACGGCCGCACAATGGCAGCTGCGACGATGAAAATCTCAGAATATGTAGTTGTGATATATAATTTCCAAATGGGAATAGCTGATTGGTTGATTTTTAGTCAAGAATCGTTGTTTCATAGCTTAATTAATATTTTGCCCTGGAGAGGGAGCTATACAACATAAAGAGTTTATTATTTAAAATTTCATATTTTTAGACTCGATTTCAAACGCGACAACGATCACTGAATATTGTAGGATCACATATGCTTCCAATATGTTCATTTAAACCAAATTCATGACCCCATACCAAAACTTCGAAAATTGGGTGGATAGTGAATCTTTACAACTTTGATATATTTGGATACCCCGGTGGATGTATTATAAGCACTAAAAAAATTAGCCCCTAAAACACTTCTGTTTTCGAGAAAAATTGAATATAAAAATTTACCGGTGCTCCCGGTAAATTTTGATATATTTCAAATAGCGCCTATGGCCGTACAATGGTAGCCGCGACCATGAAAATCTCAGAATATGTAGTTGTGATATATAATTTCCAAATGGGAATAGCTAATCGGTCAATTTTAGTCAAGAAACATTGTTTCATAGCTAAATTAATATCTTGACCTTGAGAGGGAGCTATACAACATAAAGAGTGTATTATTTATAATTTCATAACTTTAGACTCGATTTCAACCGCGACAACGATCAATGAATATTGTAGGAACGCATATGCTTCAAATATGTTAATTGGAACCAAATTCATGACCCCATATCAAAACTTTGTAATACCTTTAAGAAAGCCGCGAATCTTTATCGTTATTATCACTCTACTACCTCGCTATCGCCAATACCCGAACAATGGCCCAATATAGACTCTTGCACGTAATTTAGAGCTACGTGCTTCCGGTGTTTAAAAGCTCTTGTTGGCTGCTACTGACCTCTTTGTATTTTTACGAGATTTTTTATGATTGTTCCACAAGAAATCATTTTTTGATTGTTCTTTGTCAAAATGCCGCAACCATATACTCGCGATCGTGCAGCTTACAGGCGCGGATCCAGGATTTCTTAGGGGGGGGGGGGCCAAATTTAAAATCTATTTGTTATTTAGTATGTTGAAATTTGAAAATCGATCATTCGCTCAGTGGGAAGGAGGGGGCGGTAGTGAGCACTATTTTTTTTTTTTTTTTTTTTGGGGGGGGGTGGTCCCCCTCCCTGGATCCGCCACTGGCTAGTTATTTCAAACTTGTCTTGCCTACTGAGTAACCTTTTCCATGTCGCGCGCTGCATAGGGTTTGTTGAAAATTTTACCCATGCCACGTCTCACATCCAGGGATATCTCCGGAGGTTTTTTCATTCATTATCGTGCGACCAACACACAGCAGATTCACAGTATCGCACCATATTCCAACTGACAAATTCAGTTTGTAAATGTAGAAAACTGCTTACGATATACTAGAGCCAAAAGACGAAGTGAAAGTTAGCATATAACTCGGTGATTACGGTTCCGACCCGGCCGAGATCGGACGGCACGGACAAGTACACATCTGCGTGAAACCATGAACCTAATAGAATTTGTATTAGGTTCATGGTGAAACGGACCGGAAGCGACAAAGGCTCAAAGCTCTCCCAGAGTGAATTTTGAAATTGGGACATTAAATTTAATTTCGGGCATTTTGGGCTTTTGGCGAAAGCGATTATTACTACAAGCTGCCAGGACACTTTTACCACACCCTGAAGTACAAGGTTAGTATATGTCGTAGGCTATCTTCTTAACTCTGCTGCTAGCTGTGCTACACAAATTTTGACCTAGCTCTTCAAATATTTTTTTACCACAGCTGCCCTTACTATTTTGTTACGTAATAAGTCTTAATTACTTAATTACCATCTTCTTGCTCGCAGATGTAAGGGACCATGAAAGTACATGGGCGATCATGCCAGTAGTAATCCCGACCGCTCTTCATTCGGAAGCATGGCGTCCCTTCATTGAAGGAATCGTACTCAAGATTGGTATAGACAGGCATAGTCCCATCACTCCAGGTTATAACATCCATCGATGACTTAAGTAACCCTAAGTTAAAAAGGATAATTGAACAAGTTGAAAGGGGACTTCAGTTCAGTTGAATCAAATCAGTTCAATAACATTTCAATAACAATCATATCCTTTTGCGCATTTTACGAAATGTTGAAATGAACAGTAATGCAGAATTTAGATATAGGTATTTTTCAAGAGCATGATATTTCAGGGAAGAAGGCCCAAAATTACATTGACCACAATACAATCCAATGAGAAGGTAGAGAGAGAGAGAGAGAGAGAGAGAGAAAGACGAAGGGAGGAAGAGGTAATGAGTTTTGAAGTAATAAAGGATAATGTTCAGAGAATGACAGTTATTTACACACTGTCAACACAGCGGCTCCTTTTTCAACTTTATATGCATACATGTACTAATAAAGCTCTGTGTCGAAAGTCACGTTCCAAAACAATTCAATGTGAAAACTGTTTGTTTTCACGCAGTCGATACTACGAACGTGTACCAACTCCCAAGTCCATTCAGTGTTTATACTCTTTACATGTTTTTTAAACATTGTATGAACCAGCTTGTATATTGTTTGTTAAATGGTATGGTAATACGGTATGGTATAATACTGTGCCCGCATTCAGCAAAGCTGTTTTTCAGCGAGGCCGTGATTACATATAATTAGAATAGAATAAAAAACGATGAACATACAATTTACCCAAAAATATGCAAGTTATAAATAAATGAACATATTTACAGAAATTTAAGAACAAAATAGAATCATAGTGACAAAGGGTGAAAAAAAATTAGTATCTACATGTATGAGATGAAAGAAGAGAGCAAATATCTTGAATGTTTTCTAATCTCAATGTTGTAAGATTTAAAACATTTATAAATCTGATAGCGTTGGGTAAGGTATTAAAAAGCTTTGATGCATGGTATAATGGACTATGTTGAAAAAAATTTGTGTGAGGTCTTGGAAGGGGGATTTGTGAAGTAGCACAACGGAACATATTAAATTGGATCAATGAAGATATTAAAAACAGGTGGACCAAGATTATGTAACAACTTAAATATAGTAACTAAAGCCTGTATGACCCAGTATTCTTTTAGCTTGTCAATTTCAAGGATTTTATAAAGAATTTCGGTGTGAAATCTACTATATTCACTCCGAGTACAGATCTCAAACACCTATTTTGTATAGTTTGAAGTTGTTTTAACCGAGTTTCTTTACCGTTCATCCAAATTGTGCTGCAATAAGCGAAATGAGGCTAAATTAAGGCTTTGTACAGTATTAATGCTATCTTTTCATCTGTGAATTGCCTCATTCGCTTTAGAGCAAAAAAAAATCTTTAAAACCTTTTTTTCTATACATGGTCTATTTGTGGCTTCTATGAGAAATTGCAGTCAAGCAAAATCCCAAGATATTTGCATTCCATTACTCAATATCAACATTACAGAAACGACTCAAATGTGACTTTGAACCGGTTAACATGACTTGACATTTTTCAACGTTAAGAAACAATTCATTATTTGAAAACCATGTCGTAGCTGATTTCAAATCACCGTTGATTACTTTCTCTAATATCTTTGGGTCTTTTGAGGCAAAATACACGCAAGTGTCATCCGCATACAGAGAAAGGGAACATTTGTTGATTGATTCATATAAATCATTCAGAGTGATAATAGACAGCAATGGCCCAAGGATACTTCCTTGGGGCACTCCGCTTGTTACTTTTCTGCTCTGTGACATGTTACCGTCTACTAAAGTGCATTATTCCATATCATGGAAATAATCCTGAAACCAACATATTGAATTTTGATCAAAACCATAATATCTTAGCTTTTTAAGCAAAATCTCAAACGATACAAAATCGAACGCTTTTTCTAAGTCAAGCGTTACAATACCTACTACATACCCGTTGTCTTTTTTTTATTTTTTACAAACATCTTCTGTGAGAGATTAGAGTGCAGTCAAAGTCGACTGTTTCGGGCGGAAGCCGTGTTAGTTTATTCTTTGACACAAGTTTTTCCAGCAATTTAGATAATACAGGTAAGACCGATATTGGCCTATAGTTGCACAGGGATTAGCTCTATCACCACCTTTGTGAATATCAAGTCTAAATGAAGTTATTTGTATTTGTACCAACTTCATGGCCCGGCCCTTCCCTGACTCAAGACACCTCACAAGACGTCTCGATACCCAACTCATACGTATATACATGGGGCTATGCCACATAATACGAATAATATCATACATCATTATTGGGATTTATGTCTTCATGTTTTGATGATGTACACTCTCAATAAATGAAGTATGAGGAGTTCACAATTAATATCAATATTCATGTTTAAACACATTGCCCTAAACCCCCGAAATAATACATTTAATATGAGCCTTGCGCTAGATATCTGATTGACAAGAAACTTCATAATGTACCTATCCAAAAGTCGGCTTGGTTGTCTACGAGAATAATCTGCGATTTCAAGAACTCTTGTTCCTCCTCTGTTTCGATGAAAACAAGACGTGCTTCCCAGGTGTCCAGACATGCTGCGAAAGCTTCCTTATAGTTGACAGATGCGCTGATAATGCGGTAGCAAGATCCATCATGGCTCACCATCTCGGTCGGACAAACGTCTGAACCTGACAGAACAGAAGAGACAATTAACGCCAAAAAATAAGTAAATTATGAATTTCATAAGCATACATGCCTGTATGCATTTGTATCTTATGAGCATGTTGATCTTCTTTCGTCCCTACTGTTTTGTAACTAGCAAGATTTCGAAAGCTATTTGCGCTTTCAGTACACGGCTCCCCGTCACAATATTAAGGTGTACATACCATTTTCTGTAAGTTGGACTTAAAATTAAAGGAAAGCCGTTAGCATCTATGAAAATATTTTGTAAAAGTTATTTTAAAAGGCATTAAATGTTCATTTAAATCTACCATATATTCTATTATCAAGCAGATTTCATGTTCTTGATGTGGAATTCATAAAAGTCTAAAATACTTGAATTTTCATTTTTGAATACATTTTATTTTAAGGCTACAAATGGCTCTCCATAATATTTAAGTCCAACTAGGAGTTAAGTTTGACTTGAGATCTATGTGAAACACCCCTTCCCCCAGGTCTTTGACCTTCTTATTTCTTGACGCATGACTGCGTCGGTGACTGGCGCGGTTGTCGTGCCAGGTGAGAATGACATCATAATCGAAATGAATGACACAATAATAATGCAGATATTACTTTGAAATGCTGGCGTATTGCCTTCGTAATCCGAATATAAGTTCTATATACAATAGGGTTAGTGCATGGAGTTGCCCTTCAGTTGCTTTCTCGACACTATCTGCGATCATTGTAATTACCTACTTACCCATATCTCGTTCGCATATGTATCCATAGCCGCTTTCACAGTCCTTGTCATGCCATGTATAATCACGCCCCCTTTTCATCCGAAAGCATGCAGCTCCCTCATTGAAACTCGACATCGACACCGTCAACCATCTCGTATACACCGGCTCTGTTTGATCCAGCCACATAATGACGTCACTGCTATCCTTGGTGAGACCAATCCAAAAGTCTATCCCAGGGAATTGATGAGAGAGTGTCTGTTGAATGTAAGCCTGTTCATTGTTGGAGTCGAGGTATATGAGATGCTGTCCTTGGGTAGTGCAGGTAGATTGGGCGGTAGCGAAGTCTGTCGCCTCCGACTCAAATGAATAGCAGGAGCTTCCAAAGGCCACTCCACTGGCACAACCTGTCATCAATTCATACAAAAATAAAGGGGTGAAATTACCTCGGCAATCTGTGACAGAATCATTCATTCTCTGATGAGGGGAGTTTTAACAATTCTACTACTTCGTTTGTCTGTTTTTGCTTGCTTGTTTATCATTGTAATCATATTTCAAATGTATTTTATCAACAATTTGTATTTTTATCTTGTGGATGGACCCCTTTAAATACCAGCTTTTAGCTGAAAAGGGTGATCCTTCCCATATGTGGAAAATAAATAAATAAAATAAAATAAAATAAATAACAAGAAAATAAAATGATTAAAGATAAAGACCAGTTATGGTCATACGATTGCATTGTGAAAGAAACGTTGTGGAATCGATCAGAAAAAGAAAAAAGTATTGGTGTGTACTGTAAGGTTTTTGAATCATCAAAAATGATAAGAAATTTGGCCCAGTCTTGGTAAAGTTACAAGCACTGTACAAAGAAAGACAACGCGACACGTGCGCGATATCTATCAGGTCCAAATAGATATAATATTTTACCAAATATATCAATTTGTAGGCGGTTTCTCGCCAAAATTTGTATCATCAAGTATTAGTCAAAACATATTCTTTCACATGATTGGTAATAAAAGCTTCCATTTCATTTTTTGAGAGAGAGAGGGGGGGGGGGGGGGGGGGGGGGGGGGTTCCAAAACTGGTCTTTACCTCTAATCAAATTACGCATTTAATTATTATATTAAGAAATGTTGAGATATAGTTAACCCTCAATTCAAAGGCAAATGATAATCATCAGCTGTTAATGAAAGCCTTCTTACATACCCAGGCGCGTACACAGGGGGGGGGGGGGGGGGGGGGGGGGGGGGGGGGGGGGGGGGGGGGTTTGGGGGTTAAACCCCCTCCCCCCCCTTTGGTAATTTTTTGTGTGTAAACCCCCCCTAAATTTCCCCCAAACCCCCCCCCCCTTTTGGATTTTTTTATTTCTTTATTTTTTTTTTATTAAAAAAAACAACAAAAAAAAACACCTTACCCCCCCCCCCCCAACGGAGCAAAATGTCAAATTTTCAAATTTCGAGACCAAAAAAAAAAAAAAATGTGTCCTCTTACCCAACCCCCCCCCCCCCCCCCCGCTTATTCAGCGGCTGGCTGAGTCGTTGCGAAATTTTCGGCCCGATTTATAAATGTTAAACCCCCCCCCCCCCTTGAAAAAATCCTGCGTACGCGCCTGTACATACCTATGCACTCCCCTTTTGTAGTATTCATGGTAGCTGATATCCATAGCAGGAATTGTATGAAAAACACCTAAAAAGGTAAACAAATAAGGCCTATTACAACGACGTGAAAATCACGTCTCTGATGGAAGTCACTGGGTTGATATTCTTTTTCCTTTGAAACTTTTTCAAAGCCGTAAAGTCTTGTCTGAATATCAAATATGGACAGTGAGCAATGTGGGTGACCGAATAGCTTCAAGCGAAAGGTACAAGAATATATATTTTTTAATTATTAAATTATTGTTTTTAGCTCAGACAGTCATTTGTCGTGCATTTATAAACCAAATATTCAATCTTTTCGTTGTAGTATTAAGTATTTACAAGGAATTACAATAGTTCCTCTCTGCACAAATATCGATAGTTTCGGAATCCCCTCTCCTTTGATCTCATTAGTTTGAAAAGAACAAATAAATAACATTTAAGAGCACTAACCCTTTATAGTTCTGGAAGACACACTTCGTACTGATTTACAAGTACATGTAAATGACTTAATGGCTATATTAAAATAACGACCCTTTTTAAAGCAACGATGATTTTAATTGTCTCCGGACACTGTTCCTATCGAATTCTATGAAAACCAGAGGGTACTTTCAATAATACCCTGATTCTTACTAGGCGTGATATTCACTTTGATAACGCAACTAACCTGATATAAAAAGCGCTACATAATCATACCATAAACGAGGAGAAAATATGCACGATAATTAAACAAAAAATGAAATATAGGGAAATAAATCGGTAAACTTCACAGACATAATCAGTTTGCTTATAAACTACGCAATTATACTCGTTTTCAATGTTCTACATCTTGATAAAAAGTGTGAGTTCATTTTTTTTAAAGCAAGGTTTTGAAATACATACCAACAGATTACATATTATATATGGCAGAAATAATACAGGCAATGAAATATTTTACTAACAATAAACACCCCTCCCCCCAAAAAAAAACAAAGATGAAGAAAATTTAGACTAAGCTTTTCTCACCTTCATGGTTGAACCCATCCTTTCTTGATATCAGATTGCGAGTGAATCCCAAACACATATCCTGATTAATCAAGTCGATTTCATACTGCACGGTAGGGAGGTGTATGTGATGGCATCATGGTTACCATGGGAACGATACGTGCTTGAGAAGGAGCCCGGTTGATTAAAACCTATCCGTCAATTAAATTTCAATTCTGACACTAATTATTTTCAAATTTGGATTCATGGATACAGGGTTGACGAAATCCACTCTTACGTTACTTACCAATGTGTAGTGACTCGATAAGAAGAAGAGAAGAACGGTACTTACATGTATAGTGAACCAGGATACAGGTATCATTTTCACTATCAAATATCATTTATCATTATCCTTTTCACAATATAATAACATTCCAATTCGTCTTTAATTTGTTTATTCGTTCAGCCTTTTTGAACTGATCTGAATGATTTCTTGTTACAATTTAATTACATTTTAGGTGAATGTAAATCGTCACGAAGCAAAGAATCGGCTCTATATACAATTCTGGACAATTAAGTGTTGAAAGATTTTTTAAAACCGGTCTTATGTCTTATTGTCATGGAAAAACGGTTGGGAAAATTCAAAAATGGTTGGGAGAATTTACTGTTAGAGAGTGTGACACAGTTACGCCTTAAAAGAAAACCATAAATATCTTTGTGGTTTGAGAAATGTGTGCATGTTAGAGGGTTAGTACAGTAGAAGGAATATAATAAGTTACATTTCATACAAAAATTACACATTTTTTCATCAACCTTCAACAATGTTACCGAATCACATCATTCGAATGAAATGTAACGGTATTCGCACCAACGCAATTAACTTTTCCACTGCATGGTAAACCTATATAGGTGAAAGGGATCGAATGGTCGTATTTGTAGAAGAAATGATTAGCGTCCTCTTGAGTTGATTTTGTGAAGGTTAGCAAATATTTGTTGGGAGCTAAGTCCATTCAGAATCATCATCAGGAAAAAAGAGGATATCGACTCTCAGTGGAGGATTCAAATGAAACGTAATTTCATTTAATTTCATTTCATTTCATTTATTTTCTTATTTCTCATGTTACATTTATATACATTTAAAAATAAAGTACAATTTTGTTTGTGTGTGATCAATGATAATCAATAATACATAATAAATAACATAAAGATAAGTGATCAATATAGAGTACTGATTTAACTGAGAGATATATGGTGGGACTTACATGAAAGCAAGCTTGTAAAGCTGTAGGCCCCAGTGAAATAGTTTGTGGTAATTATCTGCATTCTACGAAATGGGGAGATAAATGTGGTAGATCAGGTATTTATGCCTCGTTTTCATTACTTTTCCTGCCATCCGTATGGTGACGATGAAGATGATAATGGGTTCTAGTACAATGACCCTTTTGACAATCATCCGGGTAATTTCCAGCGGGACAATTACCCGATAGGACAATTACCCCCCCCCCCCGGAACTTTACCAATTAGGACATTTACCCCAACCCCTAGGTTGATTACCCCCCTGGGTAATCAAACCCTAGGACAACTACCCCTGGACAATCACTTCTAGGACAATTACCCCCCCTCCTAAGACTATTACCCCCTAGGACCATTACCCTTAGGACGAGAATCCAAGAGTACAAAATCCATTCAACTATATGTACGCAGGGGCGGCGGAATGTCTTTCATAGTGAAGGGGGTGGGGGGGGGGGTAGTACCCACAGAAAGGCACTTTCTGGAGAAAGCTACTTTGAGTAATTCCGTGGACAAAATCAGTCACAGTTATGATTCCGTTGACGGAATCACTTATATAATAATAATAATAATAATAATAATAATAATAATAATAATAATAATAGTGGGTTCTTGTATAGCGCTCATGTCAGTCAGATTTGACCCTCCTGGCGCTCCCCATTATTACCCTAGCTTTAGCACGGCTGCCATACGGCGCTCTAGCATTTCAAGGAATAAATTCCTACCAGGTACCCATTTACTTCACCTGGGTGGAGTGTGGCAAATGTAGATCAATGTCTCGCCAAAGGACATTAGTGCGGCGACGGGACTCGAAACGCGGACCTTGTGATCGACAGTCCGGCGACGCATCCACTCGACCACAACGCCTCTACTATATAACAATACAATGATAAAACGGTTGGATAGTTTTGTGTTCTTCTATTCTGTGCTATAACAACTTGACTACAAAATCAGGCATGACTCGATTGCTTGGTGTCTGAGTGCAAGAGTGCTTTATTCTCAACTGTACTCCTCATGATATACAGCATCTCAATATTGGTTACATAACATCATAATATACAGGGTGGCACTGGTGGTTAGGGGCATTTACACTGTCCTCCAAACACGCCAAAATATGTCAAACCGGAGCCTGACCGCGATGTTACCAAGGGCAACTACTCATTACCGGCAGAAATGCCAATTCAAAAACATTCCAAATCGAAGTGTGATCTTTTGGCGTGTTTTGGCGTGTTTTGGCGTGTTTGGCAAGTATAAACGCTCGCAGTTGTAACATCGCGATGTTAGGTGACGTAACTTTAATAGATGTCGTCCTTAAATAAAATGATAGAACGATATATACAAAGAATGACATAAGAGAAGGTGATAGAAGGAAGAAACAAATAATAACATAAGGAATAACATAAGGAAAGACAGAAAGAGAAAGTGATAGAATGAGAAAAAACAAAGAATAACATAAGAGAAGGTGATAGAAGGAAGAAACAAAGAATAACATAAGGAAACACAGAAAGAGGGAGTGATAGAATGATAAAAAACAAAGAATAAC